TCTCACCCGGAGCAACTCCAGCGAAGGAGAGAGTCCAACCCCTCTCAAGGACTAGGGTTCCAGAGCCGGAACTATGTGTCGAGGTGAGGCCGACTATATCTAGCCGGTAGCGGTCAACCTCTTCCACAAGCTCCGGCTCCTTCCCCGCCAGAGAGGTGACATTCCATGTCCCAAGAGCCAACTTCTGTAACCGAGGATCGGACCACCAAGGCCCCCGCCTTGGTCTGCTGCCCAATCCACATTGCACCGAACCCTTCTGGATCCCTCTGCGGGTGGTGGGCCTGCAGGGGGAACTGCATAACTTGGTGGTATAATAATGACACTTCAAATTAATGAGTGCATTTAGTGATTACATTTGTTATCAGTAAATGTTTCTTGATGTATAGCCCCCATGTGTTAAGCTACTTTTTCTTAGCAGCTAGTGATGTAGCTTTCTACTTGATAGAGAGATTAGTTTATAGCTTCAGTGGCTACTGTTTCCAAGTAATGCTGCAGAAACCCCGTCGTATCTGAGGAGTAAAACCAGCACAAGTGAACACAATCCACCTCTGTGTGTGTGGGGGGGCAGGACACCAGCGAGCCCTCGTGTCTCACCATTATCAGAGGCCATGAATGTAACGTTGTAGAGGTTGTTCTTGACGTAGGGAGACTCTCGGTCAAGGATGGCGATGGTGGAAATCCGACCACTAACTGTGTCAATCTCCAGCCAGTTAGCAGGGTCGTACATCTTGGAGTACCTGGATTCAGTGAGAGAGAGACAGCATGAGAAACCACCACAAAGAGGCTTCTTTATCTGCCTACCTGGCTATAGGCCAAGCAGCTACTGAGGAGCCTAACCCTAACCCTGGAGGCCGCAGGAATCTCATGAGGCAACAACAATTCCTTCATTTATTCTCAGCAGAAATTATTCTTCCGTTAACAGATTTAACAGAAAATTACAAAAGACAAATATATATTTTTCAGTGTTAGTGTGTCATATGTTATTTGTTCTAATCTTGTAAACAACCTATAAGCAGAATGAAACTCGGCAAATTCCTGTGACTTGTTGATGAAATGTGTTTATCGAACTGAATTTTCCAGCAGAAATGGTCATGTTTTTAACAGAAGACAGAGTTGAGAAATATAATGAATGAACAGAAAAATGGCACAGCTTTCAGCAAAGGTGAGCAGAGCTGCCAAAAAGCAACCATAAACCACACATGAACAGGGAATATTGTCCATTTGTTACATTTTTAACTGGTGAGCTAAAGAGTTGAAAGGCACAGTTATGAATACATGTAGGAGCAGCACCAACTACAGAACACAAAGCATCAAAAAAGAAAAATCTGAAACCAGAATGCTCTCCCTGGCTCAAACTACAGTGCACAATACGCTCGCTTTATGTGTGTATGCATGCACGTGTCTGTGTGTGTTTGCATGTTTTTGTGAACACAGTGTGTGTCCACCATTGGCTGTTGCTAGGCTACAAAGACTTCAGCACTACATTTAGAAACAAATAGGTGGATGTAAAAGAAAGAAGTATGGGGGACAGAAAGCAGCAGTGGTGCAGGCTCTGTGCGCTCTGCTCTGTTGTTGTTGAGCTGTTGGCTCAATGCTGCAGGCTCTGCACAGATATACGTGTCTTCCAGACAAGATGTTTGTAGGAAGAAAAATCCAGCTTTTTTCTCAGAATGGGGATGCAACCGTAACAAACATTCATCCTACTCAGCAAATGAAATGATGATGTTGAACATGGTCACTGAAGGGAAATCTCAACAAAGGAGAAGACAAATCAATTCTACTGCTCACATTCAAATCAGAGATCATCAAATGTGATCATATGTCATTAATGGCTGGAGCAGTTTTTCTTCTGTTGCAAAACTAAGATCAGAGAATGACGATTAACAGGGTTGCAGGGTCAGTTCAGGCACATCCTGTAGAGAACATTTCCGCAGAACTCTGACTGAAGTAGTTACAGTTGGGAAAAACACTGTAAACCTCCTAAAAATTGACCTAGACTTCTTTCCCATTGCCAGTAACCCAGAGCCGTGTACACAGCTTTGCAGCAGACAAGTTTGACTTTCTGTGTGTGAATGTTTTTTGGCGTGTCTTGTTTGATGCCACGGACAGGCTTGAAAACAGGTCAGTAACCAGTAGAAAGCAGCCTGGAGGCCTTTAAACGCTACAGTGGTTACTTCTTTTCATATATCTCTTACATATCCAGTCTCTCTTTCAAACCCGGTGCAGACTAAATTGGGTTGATGTTTGAGCGCTGCTTGGACAGAGACGGATGGTATTTTGTGGTGTTGCGTCACTACATCTCGTCGGTCAAGGGGCTAAAATTAGCGCATATTATGTTTCACTGATTGGAGCGGAGCTGATAAATACCCATAACTACTGCGGAGTCATTTGACTCAGGTGTGAATGCCAATTTTAATCTTTCCCATTACATTAAAAAGCCAGATGTTAGCGGGTGTTAGCAGCTTTTTTTTGTGCTGTGGAAGGAGGATTGTCAGATTTACACATTTTCAATATCTGGCTAAAAGGACTCTCAAACCTCCCCTTGAGGTTGCCTCAACAATCAGATTTCATCGTCTTAAATGCTTCTTGGATGCAACATTTTACACTCAGTTTTTTAGAGATCAGACAGTTATCGGATCTAATCTGCACAAGACCCATGAAATGTCTGTGTAAACAGCAATGGCCAGCTATTCACTCCATCTTAGAGCATGGCTGTCTGAAACAGCTAAAAAACATTCACATTTGGACACGATTGAACAACATTTCAAACAAACTAGTTATTTTCTAGCACAACCTGATAAACCAAGATTTTATCATTTATCCAAGCCACCCACCCACCAACTTGGGGCCGGATCTATTAAGATCCCAATTTGCGTGTACTAAGTTGCCTGCGCAATCTAGAATTTTGCGTGTGGGGCTGAACCACGGTTTGTGGGTGATTTACTAAAAGTGATAAATGACAAGAGGTGCAAACGTGTTGGAGAAACCTTATTTAAATGAGGGTTTTGCGTGTTTTATGGTTTGCAGCATGGTGAGTTTGGAGAGAAAGCGCAAAGTGAAATTTGACCCTATGGAATTAGAGGTGTTGGTAGATGAGGCCAATAAACACTTAAATGAGCTACAGCAAAGAAACCTGACTGTCTCACAAAGGAACGCTATATGGGAAGAAATCTGTGAACCAACAGCCAGGGACCGGAGAGGGAGGAGAGGTGCGCACGGCGGGCAAGTTCCACCTGCGTAAAAGGAAACACAAATAATACACTCAACTGTCACGTTTAAGTTTTCTTATATTGGCTATGAATATTCATTTTGTGTAAAATAGGCAATAAAGAACTGTTTAGTTTTGTTTTTTGCCACGATAAATGTTAGAGCAATAGCCTAATATATTTTGTGACTGAAACAATGTGTCTTTAATATGATTTTGCTTGGCTTAACATAATTAGACGTTAATGAGACTGATTATTTCGTTTGATAATAATGTTTGGAATCTAAAAAGTGATTTCAATCATCTTTTTTTCAATAAATGTTGATTTGCTTAACTTTGCAATGCTCTGCAGTTTATTGGGTCACACTAGCACTCGTATTCTAATCTACAGCATGTTTCAACATGTTTAATCAAGGTATATTTCTGCATTACATATTATTGAATGAAAATAGAAATAAATGCATATACCAAACAGCTCACAAGAAGTGACTTAGAATGAGATTGCTGCGTGTCTGCATCCCCGCAGCATTGAGTTGTTGCTCCATATGGGAGGGGGGCAGGGTGGCGATCTCCTCCGGCATGGCATTATGCTCCAGCCCGTGTTGCTTGGCGATGTTATGTAGCATGCAGCAGGTCACTACAATCTGGGCCACTTTTTCTGGCCTGTACAGCAGTGCTCCTCCAGTGCGATCCAGACAACAGAACCTGCTCTTCAAGATTCCAGAGGTGCGCTCCACAATATTCCGTGTGCAGATATGGGCCTTGTTGTACCTTATCTCTCCGGCAGTGGTCGGGTTGAGAACAGGTGTCAAGAAGAAGGGGTGTAGGGGGTATGCACTCACTCACCTTAAAGCCCCTACAAGGAACTTTAATTTTGAGTTGATTTTGGCGACCCTGTGGACAAAAGCAGTAGTGTTTTGCCGGAATGAAGCCTACATTTCCCATGAGCTCTAGTGTGTATTGTCGTAAAGACGCTTACCTGGCTCGCGCATGTGTTTGATTTGGGGATGAATTAAACAACAAGACGGGAAAACTGCCCCCACTCCTATCGGGGATCCCAGCTCACCTCTGCCGCGCCCCAGCTCCACCTCTCCGGCGTAAGCACCACCGCAGCCAGGGTAAACACAGCGGTTGGCTGGTAAGGCTGAAGGCCTGTTTGGAAAGCACTTCCACGGCTTCTTGGACTGAGTATGGAGCGGTGCCTCGCCTCTTTATTTCTCGGCACTTGCTGGACCCTGTCATCGGCCCAGATAAGGTGTTCCAGCCCTGCGGCCCCTGCTCTCCTCGTCCCCTCGTGTGTGTGGCTCCCCGGACAGCTAACGCCGTGGACCCGCCGGCTCCTGCCAGGATTGGGCTGGTAAATGCTAGATCGCTAGTGAACAAAACGTTTATCCTGAAGGATTTCCTGACTTCCCGAGGATTGGATTTTCTCTGTGTGACTGAGACGTGGCTGACTGTTGGTGAGTCCAGTGCTTTCACAGAACTTTTACCCGATAATTGCTGCTATTTTAACTCCCCGTGGTAGTCGGGTCGAGGAGGAGGAATAGCGACTATTTATAAGAGTCACTATACATGTAAGCAGCTAGGTAAGATGACGTGTGCCGTCTGAGTGCTGTAAATTGTTTCGTCCTGGAAGCGACCTGGGGCGGACCCAGAGACAGTTTCCTAAAGGTATGGATATACACTATATAGAAATAGCTTATCTTCACACTGATGGTCTCATTTGCTGTTGTAGGTCACGCACAGACATCAGCAGAAACGAGAGACGTTTGCATATCCAGTTAAAAGTTCCTTGTAGCGGCTTTAAAAAACATATGAATCAATATGAAACACGCTCTTGTTTTTAATTTAATTATTTTACAAAGGATTTTACAAATTGACTCACTTACAAGGCAGCCATCTCCAAACTTGCCATCTTGCAACTCTGAAAACAGAAAACTGTTTCTCAGAATAGTTCCAAAATGGCAATGCTGGATAGGTGATATGTTTTAATGATTATCCCATATTGCATATTCATTGCAGCAAACGTACTAACTGGATGCAGACACGCTATTTTGCACGTTTGAAAGACGCCACGCTTAGTGCGCGCTGTTAGTAAATCAGTTTGTACATTTTTTTGCGTGTGCAGTGAGTTTGTGTGTGTGTGTGTGTGCGTATGTGTGTGTGTAAAGTACTGTAACCAAGCCTTTATGTGCTGCAGACACAGTGAAGCACATCCTCTTTTAACTCTACAATAGTCAGTAGAAAGTGTCTAGAAAAGCTCAAATTCCAGTCAAATGACTATAAAAAGCATTGTATTTTGTGTTCTTGCACAGAAAATTAAGGATTTGTTTAATGCAACATTATCACAATGTCCTCTTAACCACAGAGTTGGCAGACTGTAACTAAGCATAAAAAGTAAGGACATTTGTGGTTGGTAGATTCTTTCTTTGTAGTAACAATGCTTCTTGGCAATAAATCTTATGCTGTTGGAAAGCCTGTTTCTGACAATCAGGTGCCAATCAGGCCCACCCACCAACTCTCAATGCAGAG